CAACTGTTGTACCCCAAAATTTGCCCTCCCATATTCTCCAAGAGTTGGCAAGATCAAGCTTCAAAATCTCTCAAGGGTTGCACAGTCCAATTGCCTCCTAACACAGTCAAAATTAGGGTTTTGGTTCTTGCAAAGAAATTGAGGTTTCCAAGGGTCCAATCAAGTCCCACATGCCTATATACATTGTCAAGCATCCATATGTCAAGTTTCAAGACTCACAGCATCAAATTACACAGTTAAAAACCCTAATTGCTCCACAGTCAACTGCAGGGGCAAAATGGTCATTTGACAGTCAAAAGTCAAAATTTTTGGTCAACATCTTATTTTGAAGCCACAATCATCATTTGATCAATTCTTGATCATGATTCTCAAGGCATGGCTCAAAAAGTCTCAAGATGCAAAAGTTTCTATTTTTGGACAGCTGAAAAAGTCAACTGCAAATTGACCAAGGCATAACTTTTTCATGGTTTATCAGAAAAATCCCATACAAAGCTCATTTTGAAGGGTATGACATTTACTACAACTCATCTTCACACTTCAAGTCCAAGAAATGCTCTCACAAAAAGTTATCAATTTCAACATTATAGGTCATTTTCAAAAGTCAACAAAAAGGCACTTTAAGTCAAAGACCATAACTTGATATTGGTAAATCAAAATGACATGGGACCAAAGGCATTGGTTATAGGACTTCAAGACCTTTCCAAAATGTCCAAGAACATGTTCATAGCTTCAAAATTGAGCAAGATATGCATTGGAGAAGTTGGGAAGTTTTTGGGAATTTTGAAAAGTCAACTTTGCCTAAAACACTTCAAATTTGCTAATGGGCCTCAAATTCTTTCTTGAATCATTACCCAAAGCCTATGCACGACCCATTGAGCTCAAAATAATTTATTTTCTTATTTTTGATTAATTAATTGAATTTATATTTATATTAATTCATTTAATTAGATTTAATTATGGGAAAATTCAAAGATATGCTTTTTCAAATCTTTTTGTGCAGCAAATATACTCCAAATATGCTAAAGATTTCGTGCATCATCCAAGGGGACAAGATCTTCCACAATTGGCAAAGTTTCATGGAAAAAGATTGGAAAATACATGATTGGCAATCAAATATTCAAGACATTAATTCATGGACTTATGGGCTTGTTTTTTACCTAGAATCATTCACATACATATGCACAAGGAAACCCTACTGAGGCATACACGAAAAAGCTGCTCATGCTCCATAACCAAATTGCAAAATTTCAACAAAAACTTGGAAACTGATTTCATAGTTGCAGGACGTTTCAAAGCATAAAAAGGATTTTAACACATTGCTGGACCTTCCAGGAGTCTTTTGGCATCAAGAATCAGTCCAAACGCGCAAAGAATCATAGAACATAAGCCATACGGTTTGCCACATTTTCTTGAAATCCATATCACGATTCATGCGCATTTGATACATATTATTGGTTGTTTTGTATTCACATGAACCTTCTGAAGCTAATGATATGATTCAATTGCATTATAAGGCTCTGTATCGTGATTTGCCATTAACATGTTTTAGGGTTTCAGAGCTCAAAAATTGGGGCTTTGCATATGCTGTAAAATTGGACTATCAAACCAGTATAGATAAATTCGTGGCAACGTGACGAATCGATTGAAACCCTCGCGCTCAATTTATTTAATTTGTGCGCGTGTTCGCTATTTTTCACAGTTCCAGTTTGTGGGGGTTTAAAACCCCCGCTACTTGTTTTATGTTTGCAGGAAGAACAAGGAAGAAGATGGACGTGGCATTACGTTACTGGAAGATTCAAATATTAGCGCGTTTTTTCTTTGTTTCAGCATAATTATCTTTTTTCATATATTATATTTTTTGTCTATCCATATAACAAATGCGTTTGGCAGTTCAGTTGGTGGATGACACGCTTGGCAAGCATAGGGACCTGGGTTCGATTCCCAGGTCCCCCCATATAATTCATATTTTTTGTCTTAATGTATTCTAGTGCAGCGCCTCCTTCAAAGCTCCATCATGCATCCTCACGCGTTGGCTTGCCAGATGTCCTGATCAATAATCCAAGGGCCACTGAACGAATTCCATAGTACACTCCAGTCAACAGCATGCACTCAATCTGGAAAGTCAAACGAGGCCTTTGTCTAATGGGCCTGAATTACTTCCAAACACCTCCATTCTGGGCCTGATACCCCCTTTGGTTTGCATCTTTTTTTATTTTATTTGATTTTCTTTTCTAATTCTTTTTAATGTTTTAATTGTTTTTTCACCATAAAATAATTTTCATAATAAAAAATCAGAAACCAAAAAAATGTTTTATATTTAATTATTATTAATTTCACCATTAAAATATTTTTGTAAATAAATTTCAATAACTAACTTAGTTAAATTAGGTTTTAATTTTGACGCTTTCCTTAATAAATAAAAATGCATAGAATTAGGTTTTGACATTTTATCTTTTTCTTAATTATTTTCCTCGTTATTTATTATTATTAATTGCTATTTTTGTAAATAAACATGTAAATTAATTAACTAGTAAATTAGGTTAACTTTAGTATTTTCTTAATAATTAAAATAGACTTAGAATTAGGGTTTCCTTTTAATTTTAATTTTCTTTATTTCATAAATACCAAAAACATAAAAAACACTTTCTTTTTTTAATAAAATAATTAATTAGACTTTAATTTAATTTAATTTCAAGCAAAGGGTCAAAACCCTCGGACGTTCGATTTTAATTTCTATTTGGCACGTTATTTTTCTTATTGATTATTATGTAACTGCTCAAGGATGTAATAGTAATTAGGTATTTATTTACTTTCCGCATTTTTATCAAAAACGGGTCTTTGTATTTTGGCGATGTATAGACTCGCGCCTTGTAATAGCGTAGCTTTATATTTCCGTCTTTTAATTTTTCGCACTCTTAAATTCTAACTTGTATGAAAGAATGTATGTTAATTAAAAAACAAGCGTAGCTCACAATGCCATGATCAAAGATAACTGTTAACATGAAAACAACACACAAATACACACACCACTTCTAGGGTACGCCTCACCTGTTGCCTTCGAAACGTGGTCGTCAAGTATAGGACGTTTTAGCGGTCCTTATGTCCATGATCTAGTTGCCTCGAAACAGTTGCCTCGAAACAGTTGCCTCAAAATAGTTGCCTCGAAACGGTTGCCTCGGATTAAAAAAGGGATCAAGGACATAAGGGTAGCCTCTAAGGTGTCTTACTGTTGCTTCGGTGACCACACTGTCCCTACAATCGAATTGACCCGAACACCTCCAACGGTGGTGCTACCTACCTCTCAATGGTGGGATGGCACTACTTTAAGGACTTATACACAGCCTAATTCCTTAGGGTAGGTAGATGACTCATGGATACTTGCTCTCTTCAAAAACAAATCAAAAACCTTTTCACACCGACACTTTCAAAAAGCTTTCAAAATAATTTTTCAAACACTCTTGAGGACAGATACAAGAGTTATTCAGAAATCTTTAAACGAAACTTTTTCGAACCCACTCACATTTTGAAAAGCAAACATTTTGAAAACATAAAGAGCAAGTATCTAAGAGCCCATGGATAACCATGGATAGAAAGGGTGATAATACCTTTCCTTTCTATAAATCTACCTCCCGAACCGAGAAAACGTTCTCATAAGGAATTTTGATGTGCTTTTGTCCTGTCCATGTTGGAGAAAATAAAAGACGGTGGTGACTCTTGCTTCCGCGACATTTCGCGAACCAGCGTTAAACAGTCAGTTCTAAATCCACCGATCACAGTCCCCAAGAAGTCTCTCCGGTGGTGGTGGGTTTTCACCCATAGTTTCAGGTTCTGATTCTGAACATGAGTCTGTATTTCAAAAGGAAATTAAGATGAGGGTTTTCCTCGCATGCAAAGGTTAGTAAAAATCATTAATAACAAAAATATAAAAATTATAGAAAATAAATTTTAGTTGCAGAGCAATAAAATTATAATTGAAATCAAATTACACTCAATAACTAGGCAGTCCTCGACAGCGGAACCAAAAACTTGATGGGAAAAATAGCAAGTGTACTATTTTGCCTCTTGTAATAACAGGGAGATTCCCTGAATGTCGATCTCAAGGACTGCATGCAATTATCGATTTCAATTCACATTCAATTAAACAAAAAACTTAATTAAGGTTTTGGTTTAGGAATTGTCACTTAGCAAAAAAAATAAGCAGAATGTAAATTAGGGCTTTTTCACAGATATGAGGAGTATGCTAGGGTATGGTGTATAATTTTCCCTATAACAACCTTAAATCCTGGTCTCTTCAACAAGTTCATATCCTTCAATTACCAGCAGCCCTTTAGATGATCTTCCCCTAAGTCCTTAGTGGGAAAATCTTTAACCATTCATCCTAAATCCTAAGTCCTTAGAGATATTTGATGAAGGCAAGCCTTTATTATATCAAGAGTGATATGGTAACTATAGGGTATCCCTAGTCCTATGTGATATCTACTATAGCCTAATCGTACAAAAACCTTAACAACCACGGCCCAACTGGTTGTTAACCGTAGATCCATCCTAATTTATTCGATTAGGAAAGCGTGAAAACATTGCACAATTAAATTGAATAAGAAAACAATTTTATTAAAGAACTCATGAATTCATAATTGTTATAGATTCAAATCAAGGAAACCCCATAGCACTGGAGGATTTAGCTACTCATATTGTTTAAAATAATCACAAGACAAAATATAAACATTACAAGGATTGGGATGAAATTTGATCTTCAATTGCTTCCGCACATGAAAATCTCCTGCTCTCCGAAAACCTTGACTTTTCCAATCTTCAGTCGTGTAAACTATTCTTCGCTCCCAAAAAAAGTCCCCTTATTCCTTATGAAAACTCATTTAAATAGTCATCACTCATCCAGGTCGGTTAGAAGTACCTAAACGCCCTCATAGCCTAACATATGTAAGTATTATGAAAAATAGGGAAATCAGTGTCACAGGCCAACACGGCCCGTGTCAGGAAACATGGCTGCCCGTGTTGGCCCCAAAACTCCTAAATCTTCTTATAAGGTCCCAGGGGTTGCAACACGACACGTGTCAGGCAACTCGGTCGCCCGTGTTGCACCCCTGACTTCCATCTCTCTTTATTCGCCCATCCTGACACGGCCCGTGTCAGGCGACACAAGTGGCCGTGTCAGGCCTCCTTTAGGTGGATTTTTTACTTTCTCCGAAACTCTGAGTTTTTGCATTTTTTTCGCCCTGAATTGTCCTGTTTTATTCCTCTGACCCTGAAAACACTAAAACACACAACCAAAGCATAAAATGCGGTAAAATCAAATAAAACACTCGGCAATAAAAGAAAAGATAATTGCAATTAATGATAAATAATTGTGTAAATACCACTAATCACAAAACATCAAGTATGGATGACAAAACATCAAGTATGGAAGGCAAAATATCATGTAAGAGATGATAAAACATCAAATAAGAGATGACAAAACATCATGTAAGAGAGAGATGATAAAACATCAAATAAGAGATGACAAAATATCATGTAAGAGATGATAAAACATCATGTGAGAGATGACAAAACATCATATAAGAGAGGTATAATATAACATCCAACAAGAGATGATAAAACATCATGTAAGAGAGACGATAACACATCAAATAAGAGATGACAAAACATCATGTAAGAGAGAGATAATAACACATCAAACATGGATGAGATAAGAGGTAGATACCTAAGTCTAAACATGGTTTAAGACATCATAAACTAACATTAAGGGATTACGTGTTAACAAACATCCCTTAATCAAGACAAGTTCACATGATGAAAAGAGATAAAACTCAAACAAGTGACAAGATAAGACTTCGGTCTCAATTAAGTGGTAAATCATGGATAGGCAACACTATGGAAACAAGAAGGAATGATAAATGTAGATTCATTCCTAAGGTTCATGCATAAGAGGCAAAGATCTAAAGGTCACAAGATAAAACATTAAGGCAAGTACACTAGCATAAGAGCATTTACGGGTCAAGTGCTTAACCAAACATGGTATAAGAAATCGAAGTAGGGTGAAAGAGATGAATTAGTGTACAAGTAATAAGTTAATACATATAATACTTATCATCACCACATAAACAAACTTGAGAAAGATTCACATCAAATCATACAAGGAAAGTTGGTTGAGGAACCCTAAGTGGACTTATGTCCTCATGCAATGCTAGCAAGCAAACATGTGGGATGAAAGAGGTAATGTGAAGAAGAGAAGGAAAAAATTTACATGTTATAAATTTATCACATACCTCGTAGTCAATAAGAGGTTCAAATAGTCATTGAAAACATGGTACAAACACCAAGACGAACAAACTAGCATCCATCAAAATGGTGTAGTGAAGTGAACACAAGTGTGTGATGAAGTGAACATGGTAAGATATGTCAAGTAAGATTGAAGTCAGAAGCACACACTCAAGGATACCACACATCAAATACCTATAATCAAGATTAAAATATCATTACTTAAGCATGTTAAAAGCTAAGGAAAACTAGGTCAAAACCAAACCCTAGCACGTCCCTAAAGGTGATTAAAGCACAAGAAATGGATAGATGAAGAGGGGATATGTTTAGAGGGTGGAACAACACACAAGTCAGTAGAAAATGATCTCTAAGATTACATATTCAAACATCACAAGCATGGAGAAAGGAATGCTTACATGTCACACAAAGAGAATATTCAAAGGAGGAAAGGAGGCAAGCAAACAATGTTCAATTTAAGAATTAAAGATCAAAAGGAAGGGAGAGAATAATTGAAGAATTATTCAATGTGTGACTTGTGTATCAATTTAACTCAAGATGAGACTCAAGAGTAACTAAATCAGAAGATAAAACTTCTTACACAAGAAAAGTCACCTAGTTGATGAACAAAACCATCTAATGATGGATAATACTTGCCTTAAATCAAATGAGGTTGATAAAGCTCAAGTAAGAGTGCAATGACACCTTGTATATCATAGGGTGATGATGAAACCCTCACAAGACATCAATCATAAATTTAAAACCTCAAGAATTGTCAACAAGATGACATGCTTAAGTATCATGATATATGGTAAAGTATAGCCCCTTTGATGCATGAAAGAAATATAATATAAATAAATCAAAGCCAGTGTTATTAGATGTTATGGGAAGTAGCTAAAATCAAGAGACATCCATGTGATAAGGCACAAAAGCTCATGAAGCAATCATCAGACAATGATGCTCAAAACATAAGTAGAAAAGATGATATAGCTTCTTATGTATCACCATGTTGGTTAGTAAGTGAGTACATAACCAAGGATCCAGGAAGCGTGAAAAATTATATGAGAAGGTAGATTAAGGTCAAAACTTAAACATGGAAACATTGGACTTAAAAGTCCTCAAGCAACATATATCATTTACAAAACTAGGACAAACCTATGCATGTGACTCCTAACTTGTCATCATGATGAATTAAAAATGAAATGGAAATTAAAGAATCAAAGGAGAATTTATTTATAGGTCATGAGACATGAAGTCATAAGTATAAGCAAAGGTATTTCAATCTTCTTGGATCAATGATACTCAATTGGAAATGTACAAACACCTTTTCCAAAACCATGATCACAAATGATAAGTAAATGACATCTAAACAAAGGGAAGATGTTAGAGCACTTTAATGGTTCATATACATGAACTAAAGTCCCTAGACATACTAATTATAATAAGATAAAGAAGAAGGAACTTGGTTCCTCATAGGTTCCACAAGTGCACACCTTATATCTCAAGCAATCCTCAAAGATACACAAACAAAGATCAATCTCAAAATGAAGTGAGAAGATAATCAAAAGATATCAAATGCTTATCAATCCTTCAATGAGGATATCCTTGAGTTATCATATCTCTACATCCCAATGAATCATAATCATGACGAGGATTGGCTCAAGGGATTTACCAAAAGCCACAATCTAGGGCTCAAAAACTTGCACAAATTGGAAGTTCAAAACAAATGATCATCAATAGCTAAAAATAGATTAATTAAATTATTCCAAGATAATGTGACACTAAAAGAATCCATGTACTATCATGAGTACAAAGCTCAACCTCAAAAAGTTTCACACAATAGCAAATTAAAGGCAAGGAGTTCAAATAAGTCACAATAGATCAATTCGATCAAAAATTTGGGCAAAAATAGAAAGAGAAATAGTAAATCCACACCAATTTAATTATAACTCCCTAAAGATTTATGAAAGTCATAAGCAAAGCTTAAAATTCTTGGATGGAAGAAGAAGTTTGGTTTTGAAGTGCAAATATTAAGGCTAGTTGGCAAATGGCTCAAACTAGAGAGGTTTAACAAAATAATTTATGAAAAATATGAGATCAATGTTTAAAATTATGTAAAAATGGTTTTCATGACCTCAATTCATCCAATAATCTCAAACATATTTTCGTGGAATTTTAGAAGTAAATTAAATTGGATAATTAAATCAAACTTGTAACCTAAGCAAATGAAATTACTAAAAAAGATCACCAAATTTCACAAATTTTAAAGTCAATTATAAATGAGCAATAAAAATGAGATAAAATCCCACAATCAACTCAAATTATGAAGGAGGTCAGAAATTATTTTTTATGATTTTTCATATTGATGAAAATTTGAAAGTTAAATCAAAACCCTAAAATGTGATTAAAATAACTAATTAAACTGTTTGAATTAATTAATTATTCAAAAATTATGAAAAGGTGAAATAAAATTAAAAATCATAAAATAGACTAAAAATAAAGTCTAAAATATCATGTTGGTAATTTTTGAATTAATGAAACTATTTAAAATAAATTGAAGAAAACAATTAAAATGAACTAAAAATTCAAATAAGAGAAGATCAATTACACCTCTTATAACCAAAAAGCGCTACGAAAGGATTTACCACATGTTCAATTAGAAACAGACATGTAATCATCCCTACCAAACATCCAAAACCCTAACACGAATTTCAGTCTACCAAGCCATATTCAGATCACGATAACTTATTTATTTCTCAACCAAATGCAAAAATCTAAACACCAAAATTGAAGATCACACTTCAAGGAACACGATGACATCAAGAATTTCTTAAAATGAAGAACGGATCATAGAGAAAACAATGCGCGAAAATCACTGATTGCAAGAAATCATGAACATGCTCAAAACAGATTTATCATACGATTTTCAGATCCAGATTTCTCTTTCCCTACTCAACCAAATGACATGATTCAAACACCAAAGTTGTTCATAAAATTGCAAGGATCAACATACACTCATTAGATTCCACAAACAAAGCAAGATCAGGGATAAATTTGGACATGAATTTCACTAAACAAACAGATTCGCATGATTTTCAAAAATGCTTAGATCCAAAATTCACACAAAATACAGCAATTAAACCACATCAAACCTATTGTTAAGTCAGCTATATGCTCATGGATAAGATTTGCAACAATAATTCATGAGAGATTTGAAGCTCATGAAAACTTACCTCAAGTTGTGAAAAATAAATTCACAAATGCCTCTGGTTTTTGAAGTAAGAAACCCAGTGAATCTTCTTCTATTAGCTTAAAATTAGTAGAAATGCACAAAGCTTGAGATCTGAGCCAAGAGGTTGAGAGAAATTCGAAGAAAATATTTGAAGAGTGATGTGAGGATTCTGACTTGAGCAATGAAGGGTGCGTGTGTTTGTGGTGAATGAAGAGTGAGGTTGCTTATGAAGAGTGAGAAGAGTGTGGGTAGGAGTGTATTTTTTAGGCTTGAGACCGTTAAAGGGTATTTGAGACAATTTTGGTAAAATGAGAAAGTTGGTGTGGTGCTTGTGTTTTGAGTGTTATGTTGAGCAAATTTGCTGTGTTTTGATGAGTAAATGAGGGTGGAAAGGAAAGTGTAAGAAGCATAAGAGAGTGGCACATGAAAGAGTGAATAAAAAGTGTCTTTTTATTTTTCCAAATTTGGAATTTATTTGAAATATAATGCATGCATTGTTTAGATTTTTTTGAGCAAAGAAAAGGGATGGAATGCATGTGACTTTAGTGGGCCAATATGCTACAAACAATGATAAAAAAAGATATACACCAAATCTTGGAGTTTACAAAATTGGTATGCAAGCATGACTATGTGATTCAATCCAGCTTAAACCTAATATCTCCTCTATCTCTCCACCATTTTGAACAAACTTTAGATCATTAGAAAGTTAAGACATGATGCTTCAAGATTGATGTCGGTGATGATTAAAAATGGAGCTTGCAAAAGCTTTGAAAATTGGCATGAAAAGATGGTGAAGATGGTTGGCCATGCCTGACTGGGCAAGCCATGCGCGCGCCTTGCAAGTCTCTTGTCAACTTCAAACCTCCATCTTCTAACCTCAATATCTTCCTCTATAATGCATGAAATGAAACAAACTTTGAACCAAAATTGAAGAGGATACATCAAACTTCAATTTTTATGTTCAACACTTTTCAAAATGAAGATTATTTCAATGAGAAAAATGGCTGTGAATGTATGCCCACCACCTGTTTGTTGAAATTCCTAGCCTGACACGCACGTGACTAGGAAATTTGACATATCAAGGCTTCAAGTCCTAAACATCATATCTCTCAATACTGATCCAGATGAAAAGATTCTTGAACAAAAACTGGAAAGAGAATTCAAGCTTCAATTTTGGTGTTGATTACTTTTTGAACTGAGTCCATTTAAACCCTAAAAAATGGTCATGAAGAATCAGACCTTAAGCACATAATTGAAAATTTTGCTAAGTGTCAAGAATGTTCCAAGCTAAATAACTTCCTCTCCTTTCACTTTTTGGACTTGGACTCTCAAGGACAAAGTTGAATAACTTTTTCTCCTCTTTCCAACCATGTGAAGTTTACAATTTTTAAATCAAAAATGAAGAAGTTATGAATTTTCAAAGTTTAGTACTATGATCACAGAAAATTTCAAAAGTCCAAATAACTTCTTTGACAAGTTATCTCCAATTTCAACAATTATCTTGATTTTCTTCCATAAATTACCATGTAACATGAAAGTTTGGATGTTGAATTGAATTTTGACCAAAAATCCCCTTGGTCAATAGTTGACTTTTGTTGACTTTTGCTCAAATGATTATTCTGCCCCCAATTGATCAATTGAACCACTTCCAATCAAAATTGATGCTCAATACTTCAATCATAGGTGATTATGGACATGTAAAGAAGCATGGAATCAATTATTATTTGAAAAGTCGGACATTTCCTGATTGAATACAAAACCCTAGTTTTGGCCCATGTGCTAGGAGATGATGATCCAATCTCCAAACCTTAATTCCTCTAGACATGTTGAGAAATTTCTTGGACAAAGATGTTTTATATGAAAATGAGAGGACGTTGCTTCACAAATTTGGCCCACACAAGTATCAAACACTTCATCTGGATAAAACCTTAATCTCAAGAGATGCATGGGAGAATAGTGATTCAAGAATCAACACTTGCAATTTCAAAATTCAGATGATACAAAGAGACAAATGAGATGTCTTGAGGTATGAGAAACCCTTGTATATTGAGTGAATCAAAGATTGATGGCATGAGACTCTTCTTGCACTGATTGTCAACATAATAAATCTTCATAACTTGCATAGGAACTTGGGAACCAAAATACATTGATCCTATCATAATGTATGAATGCATATGATGAAACATAAGCCTTTAAAGTTCTAAAAACAAGAGGTAAATTGTGGGGTGCAACAATAGGACACAACTGTGTTCATAACTCCAATCACAAGACACAAAGAGAAATGCAAAAACTGAAACATGAGATTTGACTTGCACAAGATGTTGGAACATCATGTTAAACATCCTTGCGAAACATATACAAAGACGTATTCCAACCATATGATGACCAGCTTTCTCCCCCTTTTTAGCCAAAAGTTGACAAGGAAATCCCCCACAAGACCATACCCAGACTGTACTATCTCAAATCCATACAAAACCCATAAGATTATAACTCAGTAAGACACATCTTGAAAGAGAGAAAGAGATAAGCCCCGTTTATATTCGAGCACAACCTAGGAAGTAACTCTCCTAGTTTGTACCAATGGTCTAGTTAACAAAAACAATAGCACAGATAAATATGCACCGTCCATGTTAATGTTGACTGTTTCTTCTTGAGTGAGCATCGTTTACCCATCATTTTTCATGCCTTTAACTATTTTGGATTGTTTCTCCTGGAAACTAAAGTTCCAATGAATAAGCATGCATGGTCAAAGATGTGTTTCTCACACCCTTCTGACACGTCGTTGGAGTCACTGTCCACAATCACCACTTGTTGATCTTCATAGAGACACGTCTTAAACAATGTCCTGACATCCATCCAAACATTGTCTACTATCTCTTTTCATCAAAAGAACCACCACCTTTTCCAGTATAAAGCCAATAATTTCTCAGACAAGACCCACAAAGAGGTTTAAAAGGATTCTTCTAGGATGAATTCATAGACATTCATGTTTTGAAGTATAAACACAACTCCTTCCACTAATCACATAAAAAACTCCTTTCAGCTAGGATTAGAAAGATTTGAGCACAACATCTTCTAATTATCAATAAAGACTGTTATTGATACTAACTTCAGTTTTGCAGAGAAAAATAAATTCTCAAATACAGTGAGTCTCATATTCCTCCTACGGGCCTGATTTAATTCAATCTAATGACTCCCCAATCGATAGAATCAAGCTTGCCCTGCCACATTCATCCTCCCAGACAGAAAAACAAACCCCCTTTGTCACATATGACTAATATTCCTTTGACACGAGCTTCAATGAATATGAATAGAACCCTAAGACTCATCCTTATATTCTTGTTCAGAATAACTGCTGAAGACATTATCATGCATCTATGCTCCTTGGAAATACATCTAGACTCCCAGAACATATCAAAGATATCAACAATACTTTCCAGAATGACAAGTCATATTTACTTGCTTGACAAGATTCAATTTCATCAATTCTTTCTAGAGTAACTTGCAGTATAAGGAACCACTTCCCAACCAGCATGAGACAGGAACTAGGTCTAATGTCCAACCAAGTTTTATTACCATCCACAACATCCTCAAATGCAGACTTTTCAAAAATTAGATGATGAGTATCAATTATCACACAATGATGTTGCAACATCATTTAGGACATCAGACTCAGCTTATAGGTTCTCCTTCATAGGTGCGGTGGTAGTCTTCAAAGATTTCGCCTTGCAATTATTTAATACCTATGAAAGAAATAAATTTTCATACTTATTTTAATATGTGCTCGATTACATCGTTCATACCCAACTCCTTGTTCCCACTAGTTATTCTTTAACAAGATGGAAGGCATGAAATTACCATATACCTTATTGCAGATATGGTCAGAACCTCTACCTAATCCAATTTAAAAGGTCACTTTTGAACATGTCATTGATCATCAATTTATGTATTAATCCTCTCAATCATCTCCCCGACAGTTGATACACACCATAGAAAATAGATGACCTCTTATACACAGATAGATTTGCATCAACGCATCAGGAAAATACATCACTCTTGTCAAAGTATTTCCCAACAATTATATGTATACTTTCATTTGAGGATCATTTCTTCACATTCCCACCTACACAGTTCCTGTTAGATGTATGATCGATAGTTAAGACTACCTCCTTGCGCATGGAAGACCACTTGATTTGGCATCCTTCTTCTGCAGATTGTGAGTACTTGTGGATTCAACAAGGTTATGGTTGAAGTTCACTTCACAACCTCCATGGTCAGACACACCACGAACTTCAAGCACACTTTCTTTTCTGGAGAAGTAGTCACTTTAGATGTTACTCTAAGTTATTTACTATGGTACTGAAGACATAATCCATTGTAACTCATACACATCCCTTTTCACTGAGAATCATACAGCAGTAAACAAGTCCTTCTTCATGATAGATCATAGATACATGCAGCAATCCATAATCTACTCATCTTATATACCTTTTCAGAACACGAGATCTCAAACTTAACTTTCTTCTTTAGACTAACCTTCCAAATGTCAAAGAAGAAGTCCGAGACATTGATCTTGGCCTCCAAGTATGAAGAACCTAAATGGGGACACAAATATCCATTCGAAGATAGACATCAGCTTTTGTACTCTTACTTACTTGAATCAGAAATAAACTGACTCAACAGATAGTCACTGGATTGACCATCTCTTGACCAGCCTGCTCATCTAAGATATGTTTCTTGAAAGGAAACTTCTTAGATAAACATTTGAGATGCCTACACATATCTTGTTAAGCAATTCCACAGACTAACAGGGTTCTGAATACTTTGTTGTTGAACTTTTCAGAACTCTTTTCATTCACCATAACTAGAAGTGTCCTTATGAGTGGACTTGAGATAAATCTCAAGTATATTTGGCAACTATAACCATAATAATAGAGGATACCCTTCAAATGAGACTAGATCAACATGTCTCAACCCCAGAGACAAACAGATCAGATGCATATACAGTGGAAGGCATATCAACAGCTCCTCAACAGCCTTCAGTTACAACTTAGTAGTCTATTACAAGCACTACAAGTCAGGTGACACAATAATAACATAGATTTGAAAATAAATCAAACACATAGCTCAGAATACACAGCAACTCACAACCATAGTATCATTATTGATAAATTCCGAGAGAACCATCAATCATGTTGTCATGGATAAGTCTCACTCCCGCTTTAAGATATCATCCAAACAACAATATAAATTGACCAAGTCCTCAAAGTAGGTACAATGTCATAACATTTGGTAAGACATCATACACAAATTCCAGTGTAAAAGAATCAAAACACTCTCATCCTTTTAGCTTCCTCCTTGTTGATCTTTATCTTGTACTTATTAGAGAATAATCATGTCATCTTGCTAGAATCTTCATC